AATATAGCCCTCAGTTCCAAGTACCAACGACAGGTTCATCGGTAAAAACAACACAACATCATGCTAAAAACAAAGTCGTTCCCCTTGAGGACGCCCCCACACCGAAGGCACCGCCTATCGGTTCCGGAAGCACCAAGTGCCTCCGGACATTTGCGTCTAACACGCAAATAAAATCCTTCCCTGAAACGCTTTCTGAGCCATTACCCCAAGGGAATGGTAGGCAACGGGCGATGTCCCGGGCCCAGGATTCGACTTTCACAAACGAAACGCTTCCCGCGCTATCCCTCTAAGGGGAAGCAGGCAACAAACGATGTCTCGGGCTATGGGAACGACTTTCAAAAACGAGACGCTTTCTGCGCCACCCCCAAGGGGAGGGAGGCAACAGACGATGTATCGGGCCGAGGAAATGACTCTCACACCCCTCGGATCCCGGAAGGTCAAACATCAGGGGGGAGCCAACGGTTCATACCGTTGCCTCCCAAATAGACCAAGTCTTTCCAAGAAACCAAGTTTCTTAAAGCCTCCCCCCATCTTCAAAAAAAAAGGAGTGAGGGGGAGTAGACTCAGCGAGCAATCGATGAGGAATTTTATAAAGCCCACACACTTTAAAACCCTTCGACAGATAAGCCTGGGATATTTCAAAAGAGGTCGTACGTCCCCATACAGACAAACAGGAACGGGAGGCTACCGCCTTACATGTCGTTTTTTGATGATGTCCGTCTCCCATGGGAATGAAACAAAGAAGCCTTGCGCACCTGAAGATGAACGTCTCCCATGGGAACGAAACAAAGAAGCCTTGTGCACCTCAAGACGAACGTCTCCCATGGGAACGAAACAAAGAAGCCATGTGCACCTAAAGACGAACGTCTCCCATGGGAACGAAACAAAGAAGCCTTGTGCACCTGAAGACGAACGTCTCCCTTGAGAATGAAACAATGAAGCCTTGTATCTGACGTACGCCACCACACGTGTCTATTGATGTACGTCTCCTGACGGTTATCCTGATTATCTCCTTTCCGGGTTTTGCACCCTAAAGCCGGACGTCCCCCATGGGGACAAAAGGAAGAAGAATTTGATCTATGTCGCCATATATGTTTCTTGATGTACGTCCGATGATGTGTTCCTCGGAAAGCAGCTGTCTCCTTTCCTTGGAGTCCGACGTACGTCGCCCTCTATGTTTCCCGACGTGCGTCCCCATGACGGTTGTCCTTGGAATACTGCTATCTCCTCTCCGGGTTGGTAGCATCAGGACGAACGACTTCTATGGGAACAAGCTTCTTCTCTTGGGCTATTTCATCATCGGACCGGCTCCGCCATCCTTCGATCACGGCAGACCCCTCGGTCTCAATGTGATCCTCTCCATCACGAAGAATGGCTTCATCAGCGTCTTCATCCTCGGATGAAGGCAGACCCCTCGGTCTCAACATGATCCTCTCCATCATCACGAACGGCTTCATCAACGCCTTCGTCCTCAAATCACGGCAGACCCCTCAATCTCAACGTGATCCTTTGCATCACGACGAACGTCTTCATCAGCGCCTTCGTCCTCAAATCACGGAAGACACCTCAGTCTCAACGTGATCCTCTACATCACAATGAATGGCCTCATCAGCGCCTTCGTCCTCGGATCATGGCAGACCCCTCGGTCTCAACGTGATCCTCTCCATCACGACGAACGTCTTCATCAGCGCCTTCGTCCTCAGATCACGGCAGGCCCCTCGATCTCAACGTGATCCTCTCCATCACGATGAACGGCTTCATCAGTGCCTTCGTCCTCCGATCATGGCAGACCCCTCGATCTCAACGTGATCCTCTGCATCACGACGAACGACTTCATCAGGACCTTCGTCCTCAGATCACGGCAGACCCCTCGGTCTCAACGTGATCCTCTGCATCACGACGAGCGGCTTCATCAGCACCTTCGTCCTCAGATCACGGCAGACCCCTCAGTCTCAACATGATCCTCTACATCACGATGAACATGCTCATTAGCGCCTTCATCCTCGGATCACGGTAGACCCCTCAGTCTCAACGTGATCCTCTCCATCATGACGAACGTCTTCATTAGCGCCTTCATCATCAGATCACGGCAGACCCCTCGGTCTCAATGTGATCCTCGACATCACAACGAACGACCTCATCAGCACCTTCGTCCTTGGATCACGGCAGACCCCTCGGTCTCAACGTGATCCTCTGCATCAAGACGAACGACTCATCATCGCCTTTGTGCTCAGATCACGCCAGACCCCTCAGTGTCAACGTGATCCTCTGCATCACGATGAACGGCTTCATCAGCGCCTTCGTCCTCAGATCACGGCAGACCCCTCCGTCTTAATGTGATCCTCTACATCATGACGAACGACCTCATCAGCGCCTTCATCCTCGGATCACGACAGACACCTCGGCCTCAACGTGATCCTCTGCATCATGACGAACGACATCATCAGTGCCTTCGTCCTCGGATGACGGCAAACCCGTCGGTCTCAACGTGATCCTGTGCATCAAGACGAACATCTCATCAGCGCCTTCGTCCTCGGATCACGGCAGATCCCTCGGTCTCAACGTGATCCTTTACATCAAGACCGGCTCCTCAACGCCGAACGTCTTGACCTTGCGCGTGGGCTCGCCATTCCCTTCCTGGATGGTGACCCTCACCTTCATACAACGGACGGCTTCACCAACGCCTTCGTCCTCGGATCATGGCAGACCCCTTAGTCTTAACGTGATCCTTTACATCAAGATCGGCTCCTCAATGCTGAACGTCTTGACCTTGCGAGTGGGCTCGCCATTCCCTTCCTGGATGGTGACCCTCGCCTTCATACGACAAACGGCTTCACCAACGCCTTCGTCCTCGGATCACGGCAGACCCCTCGGTCTCAAAGTGATCCTTTACATCAAGACCGGCTCCTTAACGCCAAACGTATTGACCTAGCAATCGGGCTCTCCATCCCTTCCAGGATGGGGACCGTCGCCTTCACGACGAACGGCCTCTCAGTGCCGCCGTCCTCAGATCACGAGCGGCTTCTCAGCACCATCGTGATCCTTTATCTCATGTCGAAGGGTTCACCCCTCTTGCTTCATTTTGGGGGCATCCGGTGTACTCTTTTTCCCTCATTAGGATTTTTTCCCACGGGGTTTTTCTTAATGAGGTTTTTAACGAGGCATCTCCCCATCATGGATCAAAAGGCGTCAGCCCCTGGCCCACCTTTGAAGACATGAATTACTCTACTTCTCTTCACCCCATCACATGTGCCTCAAGGAGTGGGAGACTGGGGAACCCCTTCGGAAAATCACAAAAAGTTAAAAGATTTTTTAAAAGGAATCCGCAGAAGCCTTCATTCTCAAAATATGTGGGGGACTGGTAGACTGCCCTCGGCAAAACACGCAAAACGTAAGGTTTTCACTACTTTTGGCTTTTAAAAATAGATGCATTACAATAGATAGCTAAATAGTAGTTACACATGATTTAACAAGAGTTATATGCTACTAAACAGAATTTACTATTATTCAACTGAAGTTACATCACATTGAACTAAACTTAACATAGCAAAATTGTATCACATGACATAAAAAGTGCCTATGCTGAGAAGATATAACAATTTAGAAGTCGTTGAAGTATCTTCTTCTCCTGAACCTAAAACAACAAAATTCAACAAATATGAATACTACAATCCAAATTCCAACGCCAAATTATAAAACAGAGAACAAAAACTAGCAGATCATACTGCACACACAAACAAATGAAATTCATACAACTCAAAACATTAAATACTCACCGATCCATTCAATATCAACCGATTGATCAAATTCCAAGTTATTATCATTAGTTGAATGAATATCGATATCGTGTATATTAGAAGGTAGAGTATCACGTAATTCAATTGAAGAATTCACAAGAACAGAATCAACGTCAGAAAAAATCCATTGAAGAAAGATGAGAATAGAATCGTAGAGATGATAGAGTAGAGAAGAGTTCGTTAACGTTGAGCTGCGGAGAAACGACTACTGTGAACTCAGTTGATCAAACTGCGAAACCTAATTTTTAATAAACTAAACGACACCGTTTTGGGATCGGCACACCATGCGCAAGATGGGCCGATCCCACAGTATAATTTGAGGCCATTGAAGATTAAGATTTTTTATTTAAAAAGTTATTATTTGTAATTAAAAATCCAAATCCAATCCAATAACGGTCCACATGGGACAAATCCAGATCAATCCTGTTCGATCCCGTATTGGACGGGTACTCACTCATACCCAAAACACCTTTGCAAAAAAAAATAGTCCAATTTTTTTCAAGAGCCCCACCCTCTATCTCTCAGATTGGGATTATACTCCAATTTACATCCTCCAACGTACCGTTCGGTCGGGGTTGGGGGCCCTCATGGATGATGTGTCATCCCAAAACACCTTTTCAAAATGGGAAAACTGTCAAATAGGACCTTAAACTTTCATAAAAAAGTTAATTAAGTCCTTCTATAGGAGACTCTGTTCGGTCGTCGCGATTTGGGGCGGTTCCCGGTGGAATTTTTTGATGAATTTTTTTTGAGCCTCTTATTCATCAAGTCTAGTTTACTCATACCAAATTTCAGTTAAAAATTTATCGGGAGCGCATTCAAATTAATTCAAGAATGCAAAAATGCGCAGTTATCTTCAAAAATTAATTTGAATGAGTTCGTGATTGAATTTTTAGCTTAAATTTGGTATGAGTAAACTAGACTTGGTGAATAAGATGCTCAAAAACTTTCATAAAAAAAATTCCAGCGAGAACTGTCCCAAATCGCGACGGCCGGACAGAACCTCCTATAGAAGGATTTAATTGACCTTTTTATGAAAATTCGAGGAGCTATCTGACAGTTTTCCCTTTCAAAATTATTGAACGGTGTTCGATGGCTTAAAGATGAAATAAATGATTTTTTTTATAATATATATGCAATTATTATTATTATTTTATGAAATAAATTATTTCTTGTTTCGTTTGAATGTGGACGGGTTATTGGGCATGGGGGTTCTAGGTGTTGTAAAATGGGCAGAATGGTTCAGCTGAAACGTCTAAAAGATTTGTCATTCCAATAATCTGCTCTGCTTCGGAACGCAGAATCGAGGGACCCACTTTTGAGTACATACATACGGAAATGCCGGAATGTTTCTTCTCGGAGGCGGTCATTCCACAGCAGAAGCTATACGACGGCAGACTCTTCCCCGCCGTGTTATCGCCTGACCCAAACGCTTCATGTCCGAGCTTCCCGGTCGCGGTTAAGGAGAAAAAGGCGTGGCTTGAAGCTCTTCTCAATCAAACTGGGGCTATCGTCTTCAGAGGATTCCCGGTGAACTCGGCGTCGGATTTCAACGACGTGGTCGAGGCCTTCGGCTACGATGAGCTGCCGTACATCGGCGGCGCCGCCCCTCGGACTAATGTTGTTGGTCGCGTTTTCACCGCAAATGAATCCCCACCCGACCAGAAGATCCCTTTCCACCACGAAATGGCTCAGGTTGTTTAGTTATTGTTAAACTCTTAAGAAATTGCTCGAAATTGGAACAATTATGATGTATTCTCAAAACAAGTTTTTTTAGCTCTAATTAATGAGTCAAAATAATTTAAACTTCTAGCAGAATAATGATTTCTGTTTTGGAGAAAAAATTGTGGTCTGAATTGAAAAGAATAAAACACGCAGTAATATACGTAGTTAAGAATAAAATTGTGTATATGAGTTTTTCTTTAAATTATGTCTCAAAAAATTGTTCCCTTTAGATTGATGTCAACTTAGTTAAGTAATTTGATTGAAATATTATTAATCTCTGTTATTGTCTTAATCCAAACAAGTTTCAAAGTGAGACATTTTTTAAGGGAAAAGGAGAGTAATATAGTAAGAAAGAGATAGATTTACGTTAATGAATAGCGAGAATATTGTTTACATTATAGGAGTGAGATTTTTTTTTTTTAAATCTTGTTTAATTAGTTTGATGTGAATTAAAGAATAATAGGAAGTTTTTATCTTTATGTTCTTTGTCTGAATTATGTTATATCAATATAACTCACCTTCTTAAAAAAAAGAATAATATGAAGTGAATTCGGATGAATCGGAATAAAGTATTCATTTTTCACCTTTAACCCAAATGAAGCGTCAGGTGAATTTATTTTCATTTAATCTAAGTTTCTTTTGTCATTTCAACTTGAAATTGGCAAAATACCTTGTGGTCCAATGACCTCACAGTGATCCTCCCAAAGAGGACTCACGAATTCAAGTCTCATGCTAATAAAAATGTTTGCATTTGAGGTAGAACAAATACTATAATAGTTATAATTGCATAAAAAACTTGAAATCACATGTTTTTAAAAGGATCACTAGTAACTTTCTCTTGCTATTTTTATTCTATAAAATTTTCTTTCCAATGGGATTCTTTGTAGAGAGTAATTTAGAAATTTATTTAAGGATTGGAAAAAATGTTCACTTTTTTCATATTCAAATAGTTGTAGGGGTGGCAGCGGGTCGGATTTATACCGGGTGAAGGCTCATTCACGTCCACCCGTGAATTTTTCATAATCCACCCACCCGTCCATCATCCATTAAAAATTACATCCACATCCAACCCATCCATCATGAACGGGTTATCGCGTGGATCGGGTGAGTAAAGGGTGAATATATATGTTTGGATTGGATTCCTAAAAGATTTTGCTTCTACTTTTTCAGAAAATAACAAGACTCGACCAGTCAAAAAAGAAAAAAAGAAAATAACAAGACTTGAAATAATATATTTGATGGGCTTACTTATCATAAATAGTGTCTAAATTTCCCTTTACCTTCCACAGTTTGTTCAGTCTAATTTTAAAGTTTATAAACTCCAAATGAGTACATAGAGAACACAATAATATTATTTCTATATTATTAATATTGAGTTCCTCTACAACTTCAAAACTCTTTGAGAAGACTATGGCATGTGGCCGATATTTTTTTTGTTTTCAATTTAATTAAAGAGTGATTATGTATACTATGCTTAAAAGAAGAAGTTTACATTCACTTAAACTATGTTTTCATAATCATTTTTGCTCAACATGAGTTGAGGTTGACCAAGTCAGATAATTATTTCACATGTAACCTTATTTGTATGAGGACCTAAACTTGGTTGGATCTAAAATTAACGTGTAGCGTTTAAATTCCGTCTTTTAATTTACTGTACACTTATGTTAACTTCACTTTCCTGTTATTCATATTGTATCTTGTTTCTATTTAAACATTTAATTTCATGATTAGGTTTCAGTTGCAGTCATTTTATCTAGCTCTAGTCTCCCAACAATAGTTGTCTAACTTCAGTTAATTCTTCCAAACATAGCCCTAATCTAGAGAAGTGATTTGAGACAATGTATCTACGTAATGTAGGTCCCAGAGTATCCATCAAAGTTGTTTTTTTATTGTGAAGTAGAGCCTGGAAGTGGAGGGGAAACCCCAATAGTACTTAGTCATGTTGTGTATGATAAGATGAAGAGCAAATATCCAGAGTTTGTGGAGCGATTGGAGAAGGATGGCTTAATCTATACCCGAGTGCTGGGAGAAGAAGACAATCCTTTGTCAGCAATTGGTCGTGGATGGAAATCGACATTTTTAACCTCCGACAAGAGCGTTGCTGAAGAAAGGTTTGGATTCTGATCTGGTCTTTATGTTTATTTCCCCGGCCCTATAATAAATAATCCCTCCATTACACATTTGCTTATGCCTAATTAATAACCATAATAAAACCCAGGCTAATCTACATGCGGTTTATTTATAATCCTTCACAATCATGGGCATAGCCAATGGAGCCATGGGGCAATCGGGCCTGCTCGGAATCCAATTTCAGAAAAATCTTGTATTATATGCAGAGAATTCCATAAATAGGGGAGTTAAATGAAGCAAATTTTCTCAAATAGAAGTACAAAATTTCGCAAATTTCTCAAATTTTCTCTATTTGGGGAAGTTTTTATTCTTGTATTCACTTAACAGAACTAGATAACTTCTATTTTAGGGGGGAATATACTTGGTTCTATTTTAGCACTTTTTGTGTGTTTTTATTCTTATTTTGAGCAGTCTCTTTTCTTTAAACTGTAATATTTTATAGGGGTGCGGAGTTAGGAATGAAGCTCGAGTGGCTTGAAGATGGAGTGAAAACAATTATGGGTCCAATACCAGCTATCAAGTCCGACCACATTAGACAAAGAAAAATATGGTTCAACAGCATGGCGGCTGCATACACTGGCTGGGAAGATGCACGAAACGATCCGAAGAAGGCAGTCACTTTTGGGGATGGAAGTGCCTTGCCTGCTGAAATCATACATGATTGTGTCAAAATATTGGAAGCAGAAAGTGTTGCGGTGCCATGGAAGAGAGGCGATGTTCTGCTCATTGACAATTTGGCTGTTCTTCACTCCCGAAGACCATTTAATCCCCCTCGTCGCGTTCTAGCCTCTCTATGCAAGTGAGGCATGCATCATTGTAGGGAGTGTGTGGTCACGATATTTGACAATATTGTGAACTTTGAATATTTTGATATGAAGTTGTTGGGAGCATTCATGAATATGATCATAACAATATGACATTTTCATAATAATACGAGATTGTTGAAGTTTTCAACAAACGTTCTATTTTATGGAGTATGTATAGGCTTGGACCGAGAGGCAAAGGACTAGTAGTATTAAGATTAGTCTGTTGGTGTGTACGTTCAGGCTCAGCTCATGGAATTTCTATATATAGAGGCAGCTTGTATTTTGTAGGGGTGAAAGAATGTAGTTTAATTCTTGGTATCTGATGGCATATAGAACCCTGATCCTATGCCGTGAGGATCTTCAAGTGGACCCTTCTTGAAAAATTATTAGAAAAAGTACAAAATATAGAAAAAATATAAGTAAAATATAATGGGGGACTGCTTTATCAAATTTTCCAAATAGGTACGAAGTATAATATACTTTAACTAGACGAGACTAGTTCATGTTTGTTTTTAAATCAAATACGGAGTAACAAATTTATTCATATCAAATAGTAGCAAAGAAACAAGTAAATGAAAAGTGTAAGACTACAATGGTATGACCGTATGAGACTTTGAATGGAAAAGATTTCATGAATCATTCTAGATTGCTAACCCCACAATAATGTTGTAACACCTCGGTCCCGCAGGGTCCAAGGTAATTGCTCGTAGATACTCTTCAAACCTCTAGTATTGTCCTCACAAATCAGCACAAGTTTTTAACGCACACTTTGTGCTCACTCGTGTGTGTCCAGAGAAACTTTCCAGGGACTCACTAATCCCAGGATTAGCGTGCTTAACTTGGAGTTCTTAGCTGATGAACTCCCTTAGTATGAGTAATATTATTAATCATTTTCAAATTACTCTCAAGTACTACAAATGTAGTATAGTCTAACAGTCTTGCTGCACTTGCTACTCCAAATAAAAAATAAAAAATTACAAATAAAAAATTCGGCTTCACCATCCACCGAAAAGGAAGAGAATTGATTTGACTAGCAACCAACAAAGGAAACTCCATCGAGCTAAGATTGTCTGAATGAGAAATCTACAGATCGCTAGGAGAAAATGTACCACACGCTCACATGAAGCGGACAGAAATCTCGACCAAAGAAGACACCGGACCCAAACCCTCGGCCAAAGAAGACGCTGGACCAAAATCCTCAAAAGTAGAAACTAAAAAAGACTAGAAGCATAGATGAGAATATCGATCACCATCTTTCAAAACTCTTTGTGTTTGAAAAAAAGAAGACTCGAAAGTCAGATCTCGTAGGAAGTGGGAGAAGGTTTCCCTAGGGCCGGCCGTCATTCTCTCTCACCCTGTATGCAACTCTTCCTCTTTAACGTTTAGGGAGAACTATCAAATAAGTCCTCGAACTTTCATAAAAAGTGCAAATAAGCTCTTTTATAGGAGGCTCTGTCCGGTCGTCGCCATTTGGAGCAGTTTCCGTTTGAATTTTTTTATGAAATTGTTTTAACATCTTTTTCATTAAATCTAGTTTACTCATACCAAATTTTAGATAAAAGTTCAATCCGGAAGGCAGTAAAATGATTTTTTTAAGATAAGTGCGCAGTTAGGCAGCGCAGTATATTTCAGAAAATCATTTGACTACCTTCTCGATTGAATTTTTAGCTGAAATTCGGTATGCGTAAACTAGACTTAATGAAGAAGATGCTCAAAAACTTTCATCAAAATCTTCCACCGGAAACTGCCTCAAATGGCGATATCATGACAAAGCCTCCTATAAAAAGGCTTATTTGCACTTTTTATGAAAATTCGAGGGCTTATTTGATATTTCTCCTTTTTTTTTATCGTACTCTTCCTCTTTAACGTTAATCAATTGTAATGTTATTCAACGCTATGTAATACTAGTACCAAACTAACTTAATATTGCATAAAGTTAGTTGATATTTGAATAGAAAAATCATACAATTTCAAGACAATGCAAGTGGAAAATAGATTGTTTGAAAGTTGAAACGGTACGATGACTTGATAATTCTGAAAATTAATTGAATCGGATTAATATGTTGAAATTGATGTTGTTGTTGTTGAAGCAGTTGAATTGGTTGAATCTCTTGAAATTGATTAAATTTTGCTTAGAACAGTTGAATTGGCTGAATTGTGAAAAAATAAAATCAAAATTTTTTATTAATAAAATAAATAAAAAATATATGAAAAATAGTAATTTAATTTATTTAGATTATGACATAATTTAGTATGTGAAATCATATTTAGCAAAGGGAGATTTCAACAAATAGGAGTAAAACGTACGGGTTTTCCAAAACTAAGTTAGCAGATTCGCGTAAGACTCAATTACACCTGCATGGACCACAATACCCTTACTTTTAGGAAACAACATACATTAAATAGACAATAAATAGACAATACGTAGACAATAAATAAACAATAAGTTCTGGAAAGCAATCAGTCTAATGCTCCAATCCGCAAGGAGGAGGGGAAAATAATAAGGGCCTGGTGCGCCGCCGCCGCTGCACGCAAATCGGCAGAAAAAAAGGTGGAAGAAAAGAAGATCAGCAGAAGAAAGGAAGAAGAAACGAAAATAAGAAGAAGATCCGCGATGCCTCAGCTCCTTCATCCAGTTCGGCAACGTCGCGCGACGAGGTGAGTTCATGGTAGTCTTTGTTTTGCCGGCGACTGAATTTCGTAGCTGCAGGGCCGCGACTGAATTGACGGCTCATGTCCCCTGTTTTAATTTCTCTGCTTCGTTGGAAGTAGGAGGAGATTTGAGGAAATTGGGGAAATATGAGGTGTTAAAGTGAAGGGCAAAACTGGAAAGTAATAATAACGTTTTCTAAACTGGAACTACATAAGTCTCGCATATGGAAGAAACATACTCAAGTCTTATTTTTATAAATTTGCTATGATTTAGTCTTAGGGAGAGCAATTTTCTCATTTGGGGTTTGTCCTCAAATAATACTAATTAAAACCATTTGGACAAAAAAAGAGACTTTTCTTTTAAGTTCCAAAAATAAGACTGAATAATACTTAAGGGACTGTTATACCCTTACTCAGCCCAAACCCACTAGCCTGCTACAGTGACCCGTCACAGTGACCAAATGTGCAGTGACCAATGTTACAGTTACCAATGGCATAGTTACAAAATTCATCCAGTGGCAAAAAATTAATGCGTCCCACCAATGACCCGCATCACAGTGACCAAATGTGACAGTTACTCTGCTTCCTCCTCCGGTGACAATTACCCCGCTAGTGACATTTGTCGACTGGTCAGTTACACACACCCACCCACCTCGCCAATGACCAAACGCCTCCCCCAACAGTGACCAATGCCGCTGCCCAATGACCAATGTCGCCCTCGCCAGTGACCAACATTGCCCTGGCCAGTGACCAACGCCGCACTGACCAGTGACTATCGCCGTACCAAACCAGCGTCTTCGGCGACCACCATTGCCGACCACCGCCCCACATGGTCCACAGATTACAGCCCCACCAGCCCAGCCTCAACCCGCCCCTGCCCCTCCCCAGCTTCCCAGCCCCCTCTACCCGTCCCCTGCAATTGCCACGCTCACAACCCCAATTGACGGCCGCCGCACCCACCAGGCCACCACAGAAGTTAACCGCAGCCGCGACCACAAGGTGAGTGCAATCCGCCGCCGCCCTAACCCCAGCCATCGTCGCTTCCCCATCCCCAACCATAGTTGCCGCCATTCTAAATCTAGATCTGATTCGTCGCTCGACACCAGTCACTCTTCGATAATGTAGTCTATAAGAGTCTGCCGCCTCCCTCTGATGGAGATTACAACATTGGCGATGGAGAAAATCAAGGAGCAGAAAAGAAGCGGACGAAGAAGAGCCGATTGGTTGTTGCTGCTGTTGCTGGTCACCTTCATCGATATGGAGTCGCCTCCTCCGGTGTGAATAGCCGCCGCCCGCGCTGTCGCACGGTCGCACCAGTGGAGTTAGGTGCTCCTCGCCTAACGCGAAGAAGCCCTCTCCTAACACGAAGAAGAAAGCTCACGCAGGGAAGAAAATGTCGATGGGGCAGAATATTGTAATGAACATTTTAGACATTTCATTTAAATTTAGTCATATATCTGTCCAAAATAAAAACTGCTTCTATTTTTGTCCTACTAGAAGCTGGGAGTACTAGTTCAATTCGGTCATTGTTTCAATTAATAATACCATCGTACATCTTAATCTTATCTTGTTCATAGGTGCACATGTAAGTGACTGGACGTTCAAGTCTCCTTTGCAGTGTGCACTCATGACTCAATCATCAAACAATTGCTATTTGTCTCCTAATTACCAGGGCTGTGACACTTTTGATTAATTTCTCCATTAATTTTTAATCTTTCAACTGTTGTATGAGAGACACTTTAATTTATCGATTTCAAAAGTCTCCACATTTAATCTTTTGAATATTGTCAAATTTATACTGTTTATCCTCTAAGTATGATCTTGGCACAATAATTAATAGAGGACTGAACATGTTACAATGATAATAGTTAAATGATAAAATGCGTCACTTTTATGAAAGTCGAAATACTAAACATGGAAAATTTCAAAGACGCTCATCAAAAATATCTTTTGCACAATAGTTGTTTGTGAACAGAAAAGTTTTCTGTAATTTGTGAATAGTCTGTTCATAAACAAAATGTTTTTCTCTTTGAACAGACTATTCACAGACAAAGAAATTGTATGTACACCCACGCGTATATGTGGGACATGTATGAATGTACGGTGGATCGATGCTCTCATGCATCATTCTGTTAGGTTTTGAGAAGACGCTCTTAACTTCTGAAGAGATCTCTTTTAGCATTTAAATATATATAGTCAATATAATAAATTTGTCGTACATATTTCCAAATACTTCATTACCTGGAGAAATTAGAAAACATTCTGCCCATTTTTTTCAAACTTAGATTCTTCCACAGTTCCACATTTTCACATGCATCATGCTTTTGTTTTCGAATATAAGTATATTCTCCCAACATATATATTCTTTCACTTAAATATAATTTAGCGCTACCATTATATATATTTCTATTATTACAAAGGTAACTACACTCCAGTGCATGCATCTTCCATGAACCATGATTGAAGAACTGGTAATTATAATACTTAAGTCGGGTTTTCACTTTCCTATAAGCAACACAAATTTAAATTTTTAGTAAGAAATTTTCAGTGGCTGGTTGTAAATAGACTATTTTTGTACTTCTATTCGACTGTCTGTTGAATCCCTTCAATTCAAGATCTATATATTGTTGGAAAAATGTGTTAAAAATTGCATTAAATGGTCATTTTGGGGCAATTATTTGAGTGTGATCCACTTCCGATTTGGGTCGGGTCAAAGTGGTTTCGGATTGTCCTTGTTAAGGGCTACAATTCGATATGTGGTACACTCAAAACGGATAACGGGTGAATGGGAAATTGATTCTCGAAGTTCACTCGTTGAAATGGAAAAACTGGGGAAATGATGGGTTTCTAGTGTATTTTATCCCACACCGAAAAACTCAAGAGATTTTCACCCCCTTATAAAGGGAAACCTCTTTTAAGGAGTTAAGATTCCTAAGGGTAAAGGCTCTCTCTTACGCGCAGGGGGGTGCCGATCAAATCCCGAAACGGAGAAAAAAATCGCGAATCGTGTGCGCGGGCGACCTGCGGACACGAATGTCGTTCGAAAACCTATCATTCAAAGATAGGTCTAATCGCCGGAACTTTCGTTTGTGTGTTCAATGCCACCGTATCGTGGGAAACGGTCGTTGCAACGCTCCTAGCACCGTGGGAGGCGAAGAATACGTTTTAAGGACATCGTGCGTAGCACGAGCTCTGGCTAAAATCTGTTCCATCTTATTTTCTGTTTTCTTTTAGCTATTTTTTTATTAATTAATTTTATTTAATTAATATTTCTTCGTTTTCCCCGAAACACACCCAACATATATTTTATCTAAGACCATCACAGTGTCCATCTTATCTATGGCGTCTCGCGATGAGTCCCCTTCCTGAATCACCGTCACGAGGTGGATTAAAGCTAGGTTGCAAATTTGATTTTTCTTGGTCAAACAATTGCATTTTATTTGCTTAATTAGCATGTCAATTTTTAATTATATTCTAATTTGGAGTTTGCAACTTTGAAGAGATTTTAATATAACTTCTGAATATGTAAATTTTAATTATTAAAAAGTGAGTTAAGTATCGATAGAGAGGGTTGACTTTTATTATTGGTTGACCAAGAAATATTGACTTTGCAAAACAATTTGAGACGGGGGAGTACACCGTATTAGTCTTTCGCTTAAATGGGGTTTACAAAATATCTAAGGAAAAACGTGATTTTTCGCTTATGTGTCAATAAAATGAATATTTTGTATTACTATACACTTTCATCTCACAGTAATAGAGTGAAACTTTGCTCTAAAGAAAAACTTGTGGGTTTCAAAAATTGTGAAAAGTATAGCAATACTCCCTCCGTCCCAAAAACAACTTCTCAGTTTGACTAGCACACACATTTAGGTAAATTAAAATTTTGGTTTGACTTTCCCAAAATTTTACTGTTTTGACACTGTTTGGACACTGTTTAGCACTGTTTGGACACTATTTAGCACTGTTTGACACTGTTTTGATGTTGATAGTTTGTCAAATAAGGAAGTGGGAAGAAGTGTGAAGTTAATTTTGGGACATCCATTTAAGAAAAGTTGGAAGTTGTTTTTGAGACGGAGGGAGTACTTTACATTTGGAGTCTTTGGAGAAGTCAAAAGAACAACATGACAAACACACATTTTTCAACTGTGGGATTTGAAGAAGGGAAAGTACACGCCGTTTGTGATTACTACAATCTCCGGTAAATTAGACATAAAAAATTGAGAAGTTTTAGTTTGTCTATTTTTCGGTGATGGCAAACTTTTTTTTGCAATTTTGGGATTGTGGATAGGAAAAATGATTGATCAATTCGAAAAATGTCCCGTTCATCGAAATACTCGGAAATGTGTAAAATTGAAAAGTCAATCGCGGCCCAAACCAGTAAAACTTAGGCAACACTGATAAGAGCATCTCCATTCATGATCTCTAATAATCAATTTTTTATATGATTCTTACCATTTAAATATTGTTATGTAATTAATTATAAAATAATCTCAAAATTCGTTTATGTCTCTCAATCATCATCTTCAAATAATCTGTTTTTTCTCTGTCCCGCATTTATCTCTATTACATATACTTTTCAAATAATCTTAAAATAATCCGGATTCATATTTTGATCCCAGATTATTGTAGCAAATAATCCTATTAAATAATCTATGTCACTCATTGATAATTCTCTAAAAAAACTGCCATGTCACCAATTTAATCTTGTAATAATCCTCCCAATGAGGATGCCCTAAACCGGCTTTAATTTGGATGTTTTCTGTATAAAAAAACTTGTTTATCTATTTTTTACATAAGCCTATTTCATGATATGCATGCAAATTGTAATGTTAACTGCATTGAATAAATATATGATATATTCACATTTTCTATTTTTCGTTCAGGAGTGAAAATCATATCACAATTACTTTCGAAATGTACAAATCAAATAACTATGAGAAACAAATTAAATAAATTCTTCTACTATTTTCGAATCATCACTTAAATCCTTGTATATAAAAAAGTCTCATATAACTACGAGAATTTTAAAAATACAAATCAATCAAGACATTTTTAAAATATAACACGTCAACTTTGTTTTGACCTATTATAGCCTGCTATAGCAATTTGTTTTTTAAAAATAAATTAGGAAAATGGATAAATCTTATAAAATTTAATAATTTTGAAAAATAATGTAATAATAAATTTTAATAATAAGAAGTTATATAAAAATAATTTAAAACATTAAATTATAAAATTAAAAAAAAAACAGAAAATGTTAAATATAAAGTGAATATGTAAAAAATATAAAATTTAAAAAGTAAAAACCTTCTCAATAGATGTAGAATATTCAAAAAGTAACATTTTTCTCATAATTAGTAGTTAGGGCATTATCAAATTCAAAAATAACCAAAACTGATAATTCAATAAAAGTTCTGATTCAAATATTTCCTACCACCTGTCCGTCATTGAAATCAAACTCATCATCTGAAATTTTGAAATCCATATTTTAATTAGAATCCGAAAACTTGACAAATTGATAGCAAAAAAAAAACAGTTACCAGAGTACCAGGAAGAAGAAGATTATTATTATTGCCTGGCTTCACGAGAGAATCGCATAACAGGGGTGCGACTGCGATCGATGACAGAGAGTCTGCGATCAATGGCTAAGGGGAAATCGTAGGTAAAAAGACTTGGGAGCCCGATTGTAGTCGATGGAGGTGGATGACGATCGATGGAGAGGGAGAATTCTGCCTGCGATTGCCGATTGATCGATACTTGAATCGTCTTGTCGAGTTTAATTTCAAGAATGACAAAAATGTAATGTGTAGTCCTATTTTATACTACGTACTATATAATACTAGTAATAAACTTAAACTCCTACTCAAGAACTTTGTTAAGATTTTAGTCCTATTTAGGATAATTTTTTTGTTTATTATATCTAAATTTGTAAATTTGATTTATACTTTAGTGAGCGACTTCTTTTACTTACTCCCACTCATACACATTCATCATATCCAACTTCTCTAGTAAAATATGTTAAATTTTATAAAATTATAAAACAAACTAAATCATAAATGTGACATGAAAATGTGCATAAAAAACACTAGTACAAGTGTATCAATTTGTTAGTTTCACTAATATACATTGACAAAAAAAACTATTGAAAGTTGAGCATATTTGACCAAAAAAAGTAAAAGATTGCCCTGTTTTCTCATATATGTGCTCGCCCTGTTTTGTCTTCTTCTAACTGATACAGTTCTTGATCACGAGGTCTATGTCGGGCGGGATATATGAGTTTAATTCCGCTTTTCTTTCTAAACCATTTAATTTAATTCCTCCCTATATTTCTTCTCATCACGTCTCTGTATATATACTTCCAATCCAAAAATTGCATACTCACATCTTGTCAAGTTTGTTAATTTATCTCATTCTTTCTTAGCTTCTTACTTTCACAGTTCAACTCTCTGTATTTCAACCCCAAGATTTGGAGTGTGAATAATGAAGAAAGCTAAGAGTTGGCTGAAAAGCTTGTTGGGGATGAAGAAGGACAGTGAATACTCTGATGACATGAAGATGAAGAGACGCTGGAGTTTTGGCCGGCGACGGCTGACCAAGGAGGAGGATTCAGCAATTGCGGTGGACAATGAGTTTCCGGTGGTGGTGGTTGACTCGCCGTGGCTGGTGAGATCTTACTATGTTCCTGCCGATTCAGAGAAGCAGAACAAGCATGCTGTTGCGCTGGCTGCCGCGCGGGCTTCTGCAGCGGTGGCGGAACTCACCGGCGGCCAAGGAAAGGGCGATGGGATGAAGCGGGAGATGCGGGCTGCTATCAAAGTTCAAACATTCTTCAGGGGATTTCTGGTAATTCCATTTTATTCTATTCTTTGGCTTATCCATTATGAGGATTTGTATATTAGGACATTATTACTATAGGATTAAGTTTGTTTCATTCCCAATCTCAAAATAGGGTTTATATGGTTTTATTAAAAGAAAAAAGTTGATTAAAACTTTTCAAAATATGAGTTAAAGAGTTTTATTTTGAGAATAAAATTTGTTTGTAATTAAACATTTTGGGCTATATGAGTACAGTTTGAGCATTTTGAACCAATAATTAGTGCTCCCCATATAAGTACGAGGTCAGGGCGTTGGGTTGGACACGGTCGATATAAAGAATATTTACAGAAAAAAATTATACAGAACAAACAAGAATTATATAAATAATTTACCCTAAAAATTACTACTACCTCCGTCCCAAAAAGAGATGCGAATTTAACTTTTCTTAGTCAAACAGTCTCGTTTTGTTCACTTAATTTGGATGTCAATTTTTAATTATGTTCTAATTTGGAGTTTACAACTTTGAAGATATTTTAATGTAGTTTATGAATATGTAAATTTTAATTATTAAAAATTGAATTAATTATCAATACGGAAGGTTGACTTTTATTATTAGTTGACCAAAAAATGTTGACTTTGCAAAACAAATTGGGACGAAGGGAATATGTAAGATATATATTTTTAATTTAGGGTGGGTTGGGGCCTCGGTTGGTCCCCTAGCTCGGCCCTGCATATAACTCCTTATGAGAGTATAACTCCTTATTATGTACGAGTAGTACATGAATAAATGAGACTATGAGAGTGTTTGGAACTGATTCTGCTTCTGCTTCTTTTTTTAAAGCAGAAGCAGAATCAGAATCAGTTTTCAGAAGCTGCTACCCCCCCCCCCCCCCTTCTAAAAAAACTGATTCTAGGAGTAAATTAGAGCACCAGAATCACTTCTGCATTTTCACCCAAACACTCCAACTTCTGCTTCTGCTCCCTTAAGGAGCAGAAGCAGTTTTAAGAATTAGATCCAAACACCCCCTATATATCGTACCTACAAGAATATAATAAATATGATTGGTCCAAGACATTTTTTATATTTCAATTATGAACAGAAAATTGAGGATTAAAACTTAAATAAAGTAAACAAATAAGAGTATAGAAATTGTTCAAGATAAAAGTAAGAAATAGAGAAAGCTCATAAATAGGACTAATTATTCTTCAAATAAAACTTAATTAATTTATTAGAACCATAAAATAGATAAACTTCTCGAAATATGAGTGAATGATTCATATTTTTAAAAAATAATAATCCAATTTATGAATTTTATGCTACATTTCTAATCCTATAACCTTATAGAATTTTCGCATAAGATTATCTTTGTTTTCTTTTTAAATAGATGATTTTTTCACTAGATTCCAATAATAAGAGAAATTTATAAATGTAATACTCCATAGAATCAAATATAATTACTCTTATAAATGAAATTTGTACAAATTACTCTCACTTAAGAGAATTCCTTAATTCTTTAAAAAAAAAGAATTTCTTAATACGGAGTGTGATTTGTACTCCATAATTGCAGGCTAGGAAAGCTCTGAGAGCACTAAAAGGAATAGTGAAATTACAAGCATTGGTTAGAGGTTATCTGGTTCGGAAAAGAGCAGCCGCCACTCTTTACTGTATGGAAGCTCTCATCCGAGCTCAGGCGGCTGCTCGATCGGAAAGAGCTCGCCGTCGTCTTTCATCAATCTCCACTAACAGTGACTCCAGAACATACAAGAAATCATCAAGAACCTGCTGGAGGAGCAGCACAGACATATCTGATTCGGGCGATGATCATTACCTCCCGCCGTGTCTGGCTCCGGGCCGGTTATCCATCCCCGACGACCATCGCCGCCGATTATGCGATTCCGAGTGGCGCTTTCTCGGCGGCAAGGAGTGCAACTTCCCGGCGTCCCACATCACGCCGCGGCGAACTAGGCCGTCTGGGCGGAGAAGTCCGCCACCAACACTAGCGCCTGCAAAGGTCGCCGTCGGGGATTGCCCGTTCCGGCCGTATCCCGGTTCCCCGAGTTACATGGCAAACACAGAGTCCTTTAACGCGAAGCGAAGGTCTCAGAGCGCGCCCAAGCCGAGGCCGGAGCCGGTCAGGCTGAAAAAGAGGTTTTCTTTGAGTGAAATGATGACGGCAAAGAGCAGCTTCATTCGCGGCGGCGGCGGTGGTGTTAGAATGCCGCCCAAGTCTCCTTGTTATTTTGTTCAAGAAGAGTATTGCTATTTGGGGTTTTGAAGGCTCTTTTGTGAATCCATTATAATTCCCTCTGCCTTTTGGCCTAGAATGAATGGTACTACGTATTTTAATTTGTCTTAGCCTGTACAAGAAAGTTAATGGATGAGCTCTCTTACATACTCCAAAAAAAAGAAGAAAGAAGGGTTAAAAGTCACTATATATATATATATATATATATATATATATATATATATATATATATATATATATATATATATATATATATATATATATTAATATATATATATATAATATATATTAATATATATATATATATATATATTAATATTTAGTTATTAAAGAATATATATATATATATATATATATATATATATATATATATATATATTCTACAATAACTAAATCTTATATTGCTTATTTCGCTTATTGATATTGTAGTTAGAATATTATAATATTTACTTTCCATTTACATGCATTGGGTGGGAAAATTGAAGCTAAAAATTATAGCAACACTGTTATTTTATACTCCTTTCGGTCCTTAAGTAAATTTACACTTTTCTTTTTGGGTCGTCCTATATTAAACTTTACACTTCCTTATTTGCCTTATTTGGCAAACAAATCTACACCAAACAATGCAAAACAGTGACAAACAGTGTAAAACAGTGTCAAACAGTGTCAAACAATGTACTCTACAGTAAAGTCAAATTCATTTCCTTAATATGTGTGAGGTCAAAGTGTAAACTTTATTATATAAAGATAACAAATTCTTTACATATATAGCATATTCCGTACATATAAAACCACGAATAACTTAAATAAATATTCATGCACTTATTAATATTATCCACTATATATGGTAGTATTACCATGTCAATATCATCATTTGGTATCTTAGATACTCCGTATATTATATTCATTCATCCGTTAGTGAACATTCTGGTTAGCATTCATACGTATTTAAGATCATTTACCGTCCAAGGGTACTCGGCCCCACCTGAAGTATTCTGGATCATTTACCGTCCAAGGGTACTCGGCCCTACCTGGAGTATTCTGGATCATTTACCGTCCAAGGGTACTCGACCCCACCTGGAGTATTCTGGATCATTTACCGTTCAAGGGTACTCGACCCCACCTGGAGTATTCTGGATCATTTACCGTCCAAGGGCACTCGACCCCACCTGGAGTATTCTGGATCATTTACCGTCCAAGGGCACTCAATCCCCAGTCTATCCTCTACCAAATCCTAACCTGGATATGGCTAACCTTTCATTCCTTTAACTATGGACAATGTCTAGCCCTATAGTCATATAACAATCCTTAGGATCCAACGTGGGCGGGTCCCACCTGAACGGCCCACGTTAACCCACTCAAAACTGCCCGTTTTGAGCATAAACCAATACTCGATCGAGTATCTACCCATACTCGGTCGAGTACAGGAGGCAGTAGCCCACAAAGCTGATTTTCAATGTATACTCGATCGAGTATCTACCCATACTCGATCGGGTATAGGAGGCAGTAGCCTCGCGGGCAAATTTTCAACAAATACCCGGTCGGGTATGTGTCAATACCCGGTCGGGTATGGCAGTTGACTTGGCGGTCAACGCCCGTTTGACCATCCAAATGGAGTCCGATTAACGTAAAATTTTATACACATATACTTCTTGACATCCTTGATCCAAAAATACCATTTTGGATCCCTGGAACATCACACATAATAAGTTATCACATTTTTGATCACCAAACCTACATAACATGCTTTTCAACTATGTTTTATGTATAATCATGGCATAAGCAAACACTTGGTTAGATTTAATCATTCCACAAAACATATCCTTGATTACTTTAGGTAATCTCATGCCTCACGCAAAAGTTATAAAGCATAAAGTCGTCTTCTCACCTCAATGAAGCTTGTGAAGTTCTAGCCTTCCCGATTTAGCTCCGGCGAAACTCCGGCGAACTTCAACGAACTCCGGAGACAACTCCGGAGACCCTTTCAACTCCGTGAAAGTTCCTTGAATACCTTAGACAAGTTACTAACAAGGTTTTATCATCATAAAACCCATAGTAATACAAATAACATCAAAAAGGTTATTTTCCAGCGAACCGGTCACTTTGGCTTCTAAGTCCGTTCTTGAGCTTAGAACCACCTTCCAACCCCTCATTCTACACTTCCAAACGTGTAAAAAAATCCTAGGGTGTGGAATGTGATTGTATAATCGTATAAAATGATTGAAGAACAAGAAATGGGATTAATGGAGTCATTACCTTGCTAAACACAAGTTTTCCCACCTAAACTCCTCTTTTCTCTTCTCTCTTCCCTTCCTTCTTCCTCTCCTAGCTTTGTGCGAAAATGGATGCATAGAATGGAGTATTACAGAGCTTCTCTCACCTCTCTTGTGGGATGGCCGAATTGATTGAAGGTGGGTGGAGGGAACCCCTCACTTTTGTCTCAATAGCCCAAAATAATGTGAGGAGGGGCCTTACCAATCAGCCTCCCATTGCCATGCTTCCATGCGGCTCCCCTTGATATTTTCCAGACCAAGGACGTGGGTTGGCCCCCACTTATGTGGGAGGTCAACCCTTTGTGTACCCGGGTGTACAATCGGCCCCGAAAGTTGTATTTTTCGGACTGTTTTAAGTATATTTTATTTTATCGGGTCAAATAAAATATAACACTTGTTCCCAATCCATATTGGACCTTAGAATCAATATGCATTCCCCAACTTTAATTTAGAAGTCTCCAGAATCCCTTTTTGGGCTGTTATCTGATAAATTGCCGATACCGATAATGTGGCCCTGTTTGACCAACCGGTCAACTCTATGCCATTGCCATGGCCCAATTAGGATATCCACCACCATATACATATTATCTAGTCCAAGATTAAAATAATATGTGGTCCCGATAATATCAGTCGACCCCACATCCGGTGTGGGCCCCACGTGAATTTTATTATTCACGTAAAAGAAATGATAAAAATTTACAATCACGTAAAAATGCTTTTATATATTTTTCATGGTTCAATACATAATTTGATAAAGTACGAATACTTGGGGCGGTGTTACACCTTCGTTCTTCTTGAAGGAGTGGAGGTCGTCGGCGTCGGCGTATAGGCTCCCCCACTGGAGTGCTCTGAGGTATGATCTTGGGGGGTCGGTGATGAGGCTCCGTGCGTAGGGGCTGCTGCGGAGAACCCCCTGGAAGAGGATGAGGAGGGTACACTCGTCGGCACCCTCGACCTCGTCTGTCTCCTTCATCCATCGGTCAATGAAGGACCGAAGTGTTTCGTCAGGCTATTGCTTGACAGAGAGGATGTGGGAGAAGTGCTTTCTCGTGCGCTTCGTTCCGGCGAAATGGGTGAGGAAGCGTTGGGAAAGATCTTGCCAAGAGTCAATGCTGCCCTCAGGCAGTCGGTTGAACCATTCGTATGCTGGTCCCTCCAAGGTGGAAAGGAACCAACGACATAAATATTCATCCGATGCCCCCATCATCATGATGTTTTGATACCTGCTGTAGTGCTCTTGGGGGTCAGTTTTTCCTTCATAGGGCTTGATGGGTTGCCCTCGGTACTTCCCTAGAATTTGGGCTGCCAATACCCTTGGGGTAAATGGTGTCCAGGTTTCCTCCATCTTTGCTAGCATGGCGGTGTATTTGGGGCCCGCCTGTGAGGTGGAAGCTATAGTTAGGGGAGAGCACGGGTCGGGTTCGGGCGGGTCGGGTCTGCGGGCATCAAACCCGTTCGGATTTTGTAATGTGATTCTTGAACCCAACCCGCGTTGTTTGGATATCAGTTTTTTCGGATATTAGAAAGTCGGATAATTTCGGATATCGGTTCGGATATCGGTTAGTTCGGTTATAGTTAAAACACATTGAAATTGCATCATTAGTTCATTAATATGAACTGTCAAAGTAAATTAGACAATCCAAGCAACTAAATTGGAAATTACAACCAACTAAATTACTTAGCAATCCAAGCATAAACTAACTAAGTATTTAAATTACAAACCCAGCACCAAAATAACCAAGTATTTAGACAGTTATCAAAAAATATAAATTAGGCCATATTGGCTATTGCAAACCCAGCAGGCCAGCACCACTGCACCATAGTTTACAAAGAATATCAAATACTGCAAAACCAAGTCTTCTCAACTTTAAGCCTGCACATATGACATATCATCAATGAATAAATGCATAATCACAAATCACAATGCACAGAGTTATTACATATTGGTTCAGATTGCTTCTTGTCATTTCAAAACTAATTGGGGGCATCCAAAGTAGATGGTGGTAGGTTTCAAGCCATCTCATTATGTAAAGATACATTGGAGGCCAAATCCAAATTACCACCAACTACTCCTAATTCCAATCCAATCTTATTTCAGTATATTGTGGAAGCTTTCATCATAACCAAAACGGGGCAAATGAAGAACAGAAGAAGCAGTTAAGTTGTCAGGAAAAACAAAGGGGCAAATGAATAGCACCGGAAATTGAATAGGGGTTGTGGGCAGTGGAAGACATCCAACACCAACACTTCCAACACCTATTGTTAGTCACCTTGGTAAATCATAAATGAGCAATAGAAACAATGTTGACAACATGTCAAAGCTTCCACTATATGAGGAGACAATGAACTTGTAATAAATAAGTAAACCATTAAGTTAACTGGTGAAGGATCCACAGAAGATCCAGAAGCATTTTCAGTAGCAGCACATGTCCCATTTATTAAATCTGGAAAACATAAACACATCTTTTAAGGCATACTGAAAATAAATATACATCAAGCACATGTAAAAAATAAAATAACCTGTTTCCAGCTTCTCAAGTTCATCAATATTTTCTTCAATTGACAGAGGTTGGTTTTGTTTTCTCAACCAATCTTGACAACAAATCAAAGCTTCCACTATTTTAGGAGTCAATGAACTTCTAAAGCAATCTAAAACCCGGCCACTAGTACTGAAAGTGGATTCAGAAGCAACTGTGGAGATGGGAACAGCAAGAATATCTCTAGCCATTTTTGAGAGTATAGGGAATCTTTGACTATTTAATTTCCACCATCTTAATATATCAAACTCTTTATCTTCCTCAACAATAGCCTCACTCAAATAAATTTCCAACTCAGTTTTTTTCAAGCCTAGTTGCCCACTCTCAAGTTTCTGTTTTTTAGTTGTGCTTTGAATTTAGAGACTGGTCTT